TTAATAAAATAATTTATTTAAGATAATAATTAAGTATTCTGTTATAACTCAATGATTATCTTAATTATATTTTAGATTTTTTATATTTAAAATGATGTTTATCAAATATTTGATTATGTCCATCCGCAGTTAATTATACGAATTTAAAATATAAAGCTTTAATAAGTTGTACATATGCACAATCAACTTGTAATCTTGAATTTTAAGTAATATGCATCAACAGACAATACTTTATGCATAAAAAAGTAGTTTTTAAGAGTTTTTGTAAAATTCTTTATAATATAGTATAGATTTGGATTTCATGGACGAATTTGGATTTTGAGGGATTTAGATTAGAATAGATTTGAAATTATCAATGGGTTTGATTTATAAGATTTGAAATGGAATTGAATTTCAGTATTTATAAATAATTTATAGAAAAAAAATATAAAATAATTGTATTACATTTTTATTAATTGATTATTATAAAACAAATGTTTTTAATTTTTTTTAAAACCTTATTGCATACAATCCTACGAAATCCCGATCGCTCCATAAGGATTTCAAAATCCTATGTTTAAAAATTTTCAATTAAATCCTAAGATTTCAAAACCATGAGAAAAGGAATTTAGAATAGAAATACGAATAACTGGTATATTTGTATTAATAATAATCTACTGATTTTAAGTATATTCATGAATTGCTTGTTAAGATGATAATTTTCTTTATTAGGCATAGAAGAACGTTCTTTTGCCGATATTATTACCAGTGTTCGTTACTGGGTCATTTATAGCATTACTATACCTTCCCTATTCATTGCAGGTTGGTTATTCGTCAACACTGGTTTAGCTTATGATATTTTGATACATTATTAACCAAAACAATTGTACAATTGTGAGATCATGTTGTAGAATTTGGGATAGCATCAAGTTTTAGAATGAGGAATAAGCCATTGATATATGACAATAGTATTAGGCGACAAATTGTATGAAAAAAGTAACGTACTTTAATTTGATTCATATTTTGGTTAACGTACTTTTAAAACTTTCATTTTGGTATTTAAGATGTAAAGTTTTAAATATGTAAGTACTCGGGTAACTGGTTGAATCATTAACTCTCTCTTCTAATAACCCAAAATACATAAAAAGTAATTTTAAATTAAGATATCTATGTCAGCAAATAATACTAAGTTGGATACCACATCACTCGCCACATCAACATTGTAACCGGTTAATGCTTCAACCAGTTACCCAGGTACTTAGATTTTTAAACTTTACATCTTAGATACCAAAATAAAAGTTTTGAAAGTATGTTACTCAAAATAATAATCAAGTTAAAGTACGTTACCTTTTCATGCAATTTGTCCATAGTATTAATGTCATCCTTTCTAACTTGTTAACAAAAGGATACAACATGATATAGTACAAAATGAAATATAATTGTTTGGTAATTGTTTACAATGAAATTAGGGTGCTAAATGATTAAGGGAGACTCAAGATACAAAATAATTCAAAGGGTTTTGGAACCATTAAGAGACAAACATATATTTGTCAAACAAGATTCATCTCTTAGTGATTCAGATACTACTTTTAATGAAATAATTAAGAGGTAAACAAACAACTTCTCTCTCTCACACGCACATAGATGTTCATGTGAGAATTATTTTTCTAGTGAAGAGTACTCATTGTAGCCCTCGGATTTTATCGAAAGGTTGGAAGTGATTTGGTGGTAGTTTCGTAATAAAAAAGAACTTTGGCACGTTATGAAAATGTTAACATGAGTTAGCATTAAATGTTAACGTATATTAATATACCTTATATACATATATTAACACGAAAATATTAACTGAAGTTAACATATTTTAAAATGAAAATCTTAACATATGTAATATACATTAACATGAAATTGTCAATATACGCTCACAAGATCCATCTCGATGTGTCCATATGCAGAAAACCAAATGACCAAATTACCCCTCGATGTGTCCACAAAGTTGTTTTTTGTGATAAACGAAGTCAAGGATGAAAACTATGATTTAGGGGTTGTTACCATCGCTTATCAGCAAGGCCGTCCCTTAGCATTTTAAATGTAAGATTTTGAACAGGGTCCCCGAAATTTTGAGCCCAAATTTACATGTGTTTAGGGTCTTTTTATCAACCTGTGTAAAACTATAGCCGAAATTATTTAGATTAAAACCATTAATTATTTGGTTTTAGGTTCAAAGCATTAATGGTTTAGGTTTAGTTTCAGATTGTTAAATCGTTTTAGGTGTAGCCCATTTTTATTCTTAACATATATTCTATGTCATCTCATTTATGCAATGTAATCAAAAGTTTTAGCAGAGCCTCCAAAAAGATTGGAACGTCCCTGTTTATCGGAAGCAATTACTTTACTGGATGAGCATGATAAATACCGAAAATCTTACTCGGTAAGTGATGAAAAAAACTGTTATCCAGTTAGCGCTTGTCAGGTAAGAGATGCATACGAACAATTAACGGTTAGGTATTTAGTGATCACCCCTATTCAATTCAAGAAAATTCAAGAAAGTAAATGAAGATAAAAAGTGGACTAAAAATGTAGATTGAGAAATAGTCTAGGGACTAAATTTGTAATTTACTCTAATTGTTTGGTGTGGAAAGAGGAAGACAACGGAGGGGAATTCCCGCCAAATCGCCAATTGATAATACCGGGTTCGATTCGACATTTGGCACTTGGAAGTTGCAGAGATATGCAAGCAAACAGAGATCTCAGTGTCCGGCCGATTCACCGGAACTCAGACATTCAGGACCGCCGGGAAGCAACTAAGAGAGAGAATAGTCCTTTTGGAATTGCTAGCTTACCTGTGGCATTACAACAAGAGGAAAGATGATATCAGGAACTCACACAACCATTGACAATCAGAATGTCTCCGGATCTGTTTTTGTAAATCTCATTTTCATCGTCTTCAATGGAGTTTTATTATAGTTTCTATTCTAATCAGATCTGATCGTCTAAACCTTAACGTTGATTGATTTTTCCGGCCGTCGCATATGTACCTGGTCAAGTATCCTTCAAATCTAGCGGGAATGAATGCATCACCGTAACAGTAAGTTTTACGTTACTGAGGCTTTACTCCTTTATTTCGTAGTTAAAATATCTTTTACTTTTTGATCATCCAGGTGTTGATCATGTGCTAGTAATGTTGTTATTACAGATTCAATTCCCCAAACCTTTTCATCTGGAATTCTGGATCGCAAGGGATGATCTCCGGTGGTTCTGAACAACCTTGTGATGCCGATGGTGTGTATCTCACGTTCTTAATCCATCTACCTTTTCTTATTCGTTTTTGGCGTTAAAATTTTGTTTTAATGATTGATTGTAGCAATTCGTAATGTCGGAAGAGATTGCAGGTTATTCGGCCATGGCGTTGTGCGAATTGTTGATCCCAGTCGAATTGGTGACCAACTGACCATATGGATTAGCTTTAACTAGGTAATGCCAAATATAAATATTCCCTTTGCATATCGGAAATTTGACCGGAATGATCTATTTTTCCGATTAAATTCCGTTTTTACGATGTGTTCTCGATCCGGAGAGAAAAAAAAAAGGTACGGGAAAGAAACAGGGACCGACCTTTTACGGTTGTTACGATGGCATGTGTTACCATATTATTCTTTCGCCGAAGGATAAAAAGTTTAGGTTTGTGAAAGGGGCAACCGTATTAATTTGTTGTATGTTACCGTATGTATTTTGAAACTAAGGGGTTGTTTGGCAGTTGCTGAATGGTTTTGTGCAGAATTATTAAGTGGTTATAATGATTAAGAGGCTCTCATGATATAGTGCAAAATGAAATATAATTGTTCAGTAATTGTTTAGAATGAAATTAGGGTTCTTAATAGTTAAGGGAGACTTAAGATACAAAATCATTCAGGGGGTTTTAGAACCATTAAGAGGCAAATTTTTTTTTTGCCAAATAAGATTCACCTCTTCACGATTCAGAGATTGTCTCTTAATGGAACTATTAAGAGGTAAACAAAGAACACGTTTTATTTGGTAGAGTTGGTTTGCAAGGTTTTTATTCCAACCAAAACCCAAGTTTGAATCCTGCTAGCGTCATTTTCTTAGTTAAACAGTGTCAGTATTTGAAAAAAATTATATATATTTGTTTCTTATAGTCAAACGGTCCCATCGTTTGAAAAAATTTTCCTGTTTTTTTTTCTTATAATCAACTAATGTCACCTTTTGAAAAATTTTATGTATCCGTCCTTGAAAGGAAACGAGAGAAAAGAAGGGAAAATAACAATAAAAAATTTATGATTTTTTTTTATTTCCTTTTTTTTCTCTCCTAAAAAAGTTTCGAGAACACGATTTTTTTTCTTTCCTCCTCTTTTCCTCCCTATCCTTTCTTTCATACAAAAGGTTTCAAAAACACAACGAAAATGTGGGAGGAAAGAAAACGAAATATTATTCAAATTTACATAAAGATCCCTATTTATGTAAAGAATTTATTTTTCTGTTCTTTTTAATCTGAAAATAGGTTTTATCCGTAAAGAATTTGCACAAGGATCTCTATTTACGTAAAGATTTTTTTTATCATGAAAATAGGTTTTATGCAAACACGTAAAACATTTATTTTACATAAATTCTGATAAAAATAAAAATTTGGTTCTAAAAATGGATAAAATGTGAACTTAGGGGTCGTTTACCTAAACATTTACCCGGTAAACACTTACCGGTAAAATTCAACACTATTGCTTACTTATCAGATAAGATTTTATTCACTAAAACGCATCGTATATAACAATTTATACCGGTAAGCACTAACCATGGTAAGAATCTTCATCCTCACTTACCAGGTAAGACTCTCGATTCTTGCATTCGCTCTTATAGGGTAAATTTTTTAGTTTTTTTCATATTCATCCGAAAAAGTAAAGTGACTTGGTAAGCGTTTGGTAAACGACACCTTAGACCGGCAGATACTTGTGAAGTACTCTTTTTGCACCTTTCGGCCTTGTTTTGTTCAGTTATTCTGTCTGTACGTCTACTCCTTATTCGTATTCATTCTAATGGTGGTAACGATTCTGCACCTTAATTTTGCCTTTTCCGCTCAGTTTTGTGTGCAGGTCAGCAGGTGCAGGTCATAAAGGCAGACAACACATACTTCCTGTGTCTCTAGATATATACAACACATGGTATGATGATTTATTCATTTCCTTCATTTTATAAAGCTTGTTTTTAAGCAACGAGAAAATGATATTCTTCATAGTGTTTTTGTTGTGAAGATTCAAAGTTTTTTTTTTTTACTTTCACAATGTTTTGCTATGAAATTTCAGCGTTATTTTGTGGTCTCACGAAAATAGGCATTTCAGTGTTATTTTGTGGTCTCGCGAAAATAGGCTTGTCTAATGTGAACCCAACCATGTATATATTATATATATAAACATATTTTTCTACTATAATTCAATTAGTCAATGATAATAAACAATTTAAATCATAATATATATTTAGAACTAACAAATAAGACATTAAAAAAGTATGAAATATCAAATATCGTGTTAAAAAAAACTGCACATTAGTTCATGGAATACTTAACGTGATGTGAGACACATATCTTAAACAATGACACATGAAGACGGCTATTATGGTGAACCTTTTAGAATATTACTGAGTTTGTTTAGTTTTGCCATAGTGTTTGATAAAAATTGGGAAATGATGTGTCGCATTTATTTGGAGATGGAGGGAGGTTACTTTTAGATCATATGACGGTTACTCGGTTAGCACATATATGTAATCTTGTCGATGTTATGTGGGATGTTGATTTAGGGGCTGTTTATTAAAATGCTTACTTGGTAAGTGCTTATCATATAAATCTTCTCATCGGATAAACACGACAAGGGTCAAGAATAGAGCAATGGAAAAGATGGAGAGTCTTACCCGGTAAGTGAAGATGACGACTCTTACCCAGGTAATTGTTGCATTCAATACGTATTGATGTACTAAAATCTTACACATCAAAACAAATTATAGTGTTGACTCGCATCAATAAACACTTACCGGATAAGTATTTGAGTAAAGGGCCACTTAGTCTAATATATTTTTGTAAGTGTGTATTGGCAAGATCTAGTAAAAGAGAAGGAAAAGAAATAAAATTTCAAATTCTTGAGCATTAGAGAAAGAAAAATAAACACACCAGTTTAAAAATACACCCTTAATTATTTTATATCTTATAGTAATTGATTGGTAAATTTGTAATTTTATAAATATTTTTAATTGTTATTTTTTCCTTTCCTTTTTTCCCATATTTGGGAGGAAAACAATCTTATTTTCTTTCATTTTTCTCTATTTTTTTTTTTCATTTCCTTCCTAAAAAACTCAAAAACATTTAGGGGTCGTTTTCGGTAAAATTTAATACTATAATTTACTTATCGGGTAAGATTTTAGTCCACCAAAACGATATCGTATGCAACAATTTACCCGGTAAGCGCTTACCATAGTAAGAGTTGTTGCTCTCACATACCAGGTAAGACTTTTGGTCCTTGTCTCGCTTTTACCGGGTAAGATTCTTGATCTTTACCATATTCATGTGGTGAGGTAATATTACTTGGTAAACGCTTACCCGGGTAAGCGTTTGGTAAACGACCCCTTAGATTTTTTATTTCCATTTCCCTCCCTTTCCTCAGTAAAAAAATGATTTTGAGAACACAACATAAGTGTTTAGTCATAATAAATGAACTCTGTTAATTTTTTATATAGCTATTTCAATCATAATAATTAGACTTTCATTATTTTTATAAATATTTTAATTAATTTATATATATATATATATAAATAATTAGGTTTGTAAAAGATATTTTTTTAATATAAATATAAATATTAAAATTAAAAAAAAATTTAGACTTTTAGCACTTAATTCTCCATTATACAAAATTTGTTGGAAAATTGTCAAAAGTTCCTATCATATCGATTGATGGAGACTCTTCCATGCTACGCGTTTTGTTTCTAGCAGCCAGGCTTTATGCCTCCATTATCAAACCCTTCTTTCTCTAACTTACACCGACACATGTGCATCTCCATTCACCACATTTTTTGCTTCAACTCATACAATCATAATTTTTGTACCAACTCTTTTTGTACAATATGAAATGTTATATAAAAAACTATTACAATGTATTATCGGTTATTTAATAGTTACTGAATGATTTGGTGTTGAATGATTAAGTGGTCAGAATGATTAAGAGGCTCTTATGATATAGTGCAAAATAAAATATAATTGTTTATGATGAAATTAGGGCGCTGAATGATTAAGGGAGACCCATGATGCAAAATCATTCAAAGGATTTTAGAACCATTAAGAGCGAAAAAAAATTTCTCAAACAATATTCAGCTCCTAATGATTAAGAGTCTGACTCTTAATAAAACTATTAAGAGGTAAACAAACAACCCTTAAGAGTATTTCCAACATATTTTTCAAAACAAGGTAAATGGAGATTTTGAATAAATTTTTACTTATCAAATATGATTCGTCCTAATCTTTCGTTCGGTCAATGTTTTTGTTTGAATCCGACTCAAACTAACCATACAACTAAACTTATCAAATACTCTTATTTCATTCAACACTAAACTATATTGAAAATTAAAATAGTAATTCTTTGTGATACTTGACTTTCTAAACCATTACCAAATATCCAATTTTTCATTCTCTCATCTACCAAACAACCTCTTAACCCAATAACAGGAGATAGTATGACCTCACTCAAAAGTCAAAAATACCAAAAACGGAAATAGCAAATCTGTCGATCTTTACGCAGATTGTGTACACCTTTGCATAAATATTATGTTCTTTATTTTTATTTTTTCAATTAAAAAAATCAATTTTTTTAAAATTAAAGGAATGCATAAATTTGTAACTACGGTATGACCTCACTCAAAAGTACCAAAAACAGAAATAGCCAATCTGTCAATCTTTACACAAGGGGTGTACGCATTTGTTTAAATCCCATTTTTTAAATTATAAAATATGTAAAGCATTTACGTAAATTCCGATTATTTTAGTAATTTGCTTTAAAAAAAATGGTTAAAAATGAATTCAGACATAGATAGACTATTTAGGTCAATTTCCTGTTTGATTGTATCATAAAATTAACTCAAAACTCTTCTGTCATCGTTTGATTGTTTCGAATCCTACAAGATCACTTAAGATTTTCCTAATTGGTCATCAGAATTCTTGTGGTTAATTAATGTGTAAACGAGTTGGTCTAGACAACCATGGTTAAACAAAATTACTCAAAACATTTGCATTTCTTTTTCTTAAGTTTTATCAAAATGGGTCTAAGATTAGACTATATAAAATCCAAGAATTCAATAATACGAGTCTCTTACACAATGTGAACATAAAGCTTAAAAACTTAAAACTTAAAACTTAAAACATAAAGCTTCTTAAAAACACATAGCAACACTCTTTTGTTAACTACTAGAAAACAAAATCAAGTAAAATTACCAGCCAAAAATAGTAACCAATTTACCTGACTAACACTTTTTTGGCTTTTTGATTAAGCAACAGCAGGCATATCCTTAAGCCAAGCATCCAATGGCTTACCGATCGAGTAAACGATAAACCCGATCTCCCTCAGTTTCTCTGTATCCACAACGTTCCGTCCATCAAAAACGAACGCAGGTTTCTGCATATTGTCGTATATTTTCTGGTAATCGAGAGTTTTAAACTCGTCCCATTCGGTTAAAATGCAAACGGCGTGTGCGTCTTTGGTGGCTTCGTAAGCATTCCAAACGACCGCCACTTGTTTCACGCCGGTCGGGCTTAACGGCTGCAAATGAAGAGGATGATCCCAGTCGAATTTGTTCAACGTCAAGTCACGTTGGATCTGATCTTCGGTTACTTGTGGATCGTAGATGCTCACACACGCCTTATCGCCCAACAAGCCTTTGCAAACGTCGATGGCTGGGGTTTCTCGGGTGTCACCAGTATCTTTCTTGAACGCGAATCCCAAAATCGCGATCTTTTTGTTGGAAACCGTGTTGAACATAGAAGCTACAACACGGTTAACGAAACGGGATTTTTGGTAGTCGTTGATCTTGATGACTTGTTTCCAGTATTCCGCCACTTCGGGAAGGCCGTTGCATTCACAGATGTAAACGAGGTTCAAGATGTCTTTCTGGAAACAAGATCCGCCAAACCCGACACTCGCGTTCAAGAATTTTGGACCGATTCTCGTGTCTTTTCCGACTGCATACGCCACCTGGCTAACATTTGCACCAGTAGCCTCGCAGAGAGCCGACATTGCATTAACGGAAGAAATTCTTTGAGCCAAGAAAGCATTTGCAGCAAGTTTCGAGAGCTCTGCAGACCATAAATTGGTTGTGATGATATTTTCTTCGGGAACCCATTGAGCGTAAATACTTTTCAAAGCTTCGATCGCTTTCTGCCCTCCCGGGGTTTCCCGTCCACCGATGAGAACCCGATCGGGTTTAAAAAGGTCTTCAATTGCAGTCCCTTCAGCAAGAAATTCCGGGTTTGAGAGAATTTGAAAGTTGATTCCTTTGCTGTTATGGGTCAGGATCTTTTCGATTGCTTCGGCGGTTTTAACCGGTACAGTTGACTTCTCGACTACAATTTTGTCCGATTTTGAAACATCGGCAATCATACGGGCAGCGCTTTCCCAGTACGTGAGATCGGCAGCTTTGCCGGCACCGAGACCTCGAGTCTTGGTGGGGGTGTTGACCGAGACAAAGACTATATCGGCCTCACAGACATGTTTCTCCACGTCAGTGCTGAAAAAGAGGTTTTTGCCTCGGCATTGCTTCACAACATCGTCGAGGCCTGGCTCGTAGATTGGGAGCTGGTCGCTATTCCAGGCTGTGATTCGAGGTACAGAAATATCGACCACGGCCACTTGAACGTTCGGGCACTTGAGTGCTATGACAGCCATGGTGGGACCCCCGACATATCCGGCTCCAATGCAGCATATCTTCACCATTTTTTGTGGTTTTCCGATAGTCCAGAGAATCTGAATAAGAATCAAGTCATGCAGCATTTACGATCAGCATCAAAAGGTAGGCACATCATAGAAGACTCGTATCTTACATTTTGCAGGGAAAAGCAGAATAAAAGTAATACCGCGCTTCAGTTACATAGCGAATGTTTCTGGTGTTGGTATTTTAGGGGCTGTTTTGTTGGTTTCCCATTAAGTCTTGTATGGATAAAGCTGTCAGTGTGGATTAATCTCTCTGTATAGATTGGAAAAGTTTTTGTTTGAGAGAGTTTATTCATAGATGGAAGAATGTGTTTTTAATCAGGAGTGACAGGTGTGGAAAAATCTTGGTATTCTGCAAAGCTCCCTCATTAAACTTACTGAATAAGCCACTTTCTATATCATTAAGCCACTACCAAATAGTCATGTGTAGCTGACCGAATAAGCTGCGAGTCTCATTAAGCACATTAAGCTGCTAACAAACTTCAAAGGCTGATGTAATCAGAAGTCAAAGGTTCAAAAGGCAACTTATGTTCAGAAGGCTAACTTCTGAAGGCAAATCTTCTGAAGACTAACTTCTGAATTGACTCTAGTCTGATCTGTGCAACCATTTTTCGTTCTTATACGTTTGTAGTTATCTGGTAACTGTTTTAACGCCAAAATAACTACCTTCCCGCCAAAGTTAATTGTTGATTAACTACTCGTATAAGTAGGTTCGACCTCAATTTAGAACATATGAAAAACATAACAGAATTCTGTGTTCTATTCTCGATTTTTTGCCTAGAATCTAGAGTGTGAATTTGGATTATCCCAAAGCAAATTTAATGATACCCCCATGGCGGAAAAAATGGCATTAGTTTCAGAAAGTATTCCATAAAAATCCATCTTTCCATAAGTCTATACCAATTGATATCATATCTCCCAAACCCAGATTTTATAGCATCTGGTCAATTTTGTCTACTAATGGCAGTGAACAAGTTAATGATGGCCATATGGTTACTCAACCTCGTAACCTCATGTAACAATGTCATCCCACAAGTCAATTTATAGAAACAACGATGAAGCAATTTTTGCTGAAAGATCCTACCAGATCTACATTCATGGATATCATTGCAGAGAAGCTAGTTAGCTAACACGGTTTTCACCTTGTCATCCCCCTCCCAAATCCCAATGCGTTGATCTAGCTAGCCACCCCAATTATGAAACAAAGTCGAAGTACTCTTATGAACATAATAGAGATACAACTTGCAAAAACTGCAATTACATTAGTAAAGCTAGATAAGATCCCAATTACAAAAAAGAAATATCGATTACATGTACTGTAACTTAAAATGTAAAAAAAAATCAAACCGACAGAGCATTCAGATTCTTGTTTAACAGCTGATATACAGAATTGCATGATTTTAAGAGAAAATTCAGATCTACTGCAACATGAACAACTAAAAAAAATCACAGCAAAGTCTAGTTAAGATTCAAAAAAACTGTAACACTCTAATTCGATTTCAACTAAATATACTTCACCACATTTTTAATCAACACATAAATCCCAGATCTAACACGAACACTTTCGATTTACGACCGACAGACCTAACTTCAGCTCACGAACATCACCAAATCAGAAGATCTTGCATAAACAATCAATTAATAACATGCGAACGGGATCTAATCGATGAAAATGACAATTATCAACAAAATAGCAAGTAATAACACACCTAACAGTAAATCAATAGATCCGTTCATCTAGATCACGAACAAACTCCAATTCACATCAATAATCAACAAGAAGTACACAAAAATTCAATTAACTACAGAAGATCATGAACCGAATTGTTACCTGTTATATTAGATCGATTGATCCTGTAACAGATTGGAGAGAGTGTTTGCTTCTGTTACACAGATCTGTCAAGTTATGTGTAAGATGAAACAGAGAAAGCGGGGACATGTTTATATACCTGTCGAAACTGCAGGATTTACCCCTAATGTATCAGAAAATGACACTTTACTCCCCTCTAGAAAACTTTCTCTTAAATGTTTGAAAATGTTGCACTAACTACCCCTAATATTTGACCATCTTACAAATAAGTACAATCTACTCGAATGAAAGCAATGATCTAGCGATTCGTTTACTATCTGGTTCTTCATGATCGGTGTTTGGAGGTGATCTGATATGCAGCTCGGTCTATGATGTAGGGATGATTTGGTTGAATTTCAATTGGGTTCTGCTTGAAATTCGAATAAATTATTATATCTACTCGGATACATATGATTTAAGTGAAATTAATCGGTTTGATCTTTGTTTGAGTTAACCAACTGTCTAAGCTCGGAAAACTTAAAACCTAAACCCTAAAACGTCTGCAGTCTTATCCAAACCAACATATGAGATGTTAAAAGGTGAATCTTGTTTGGAAAAAAAAATCTGTCTCTTAATAGTTATAAAATACTCTGAATGATTTTGCATCACAGGCCTCCCTTAACCATTCAACCCTCTATTTTCATTATAAACAATTATATTTCATTTTGCACTGTATCATGAGAGTCTTTTAATTATTCTGACCACTTAATCATTCTGTACCAAACCATTCAGCAGCTAACAAACAGTCCCTAAGGTTATTTATCGAGTTTGAATCAAGCCAAAACCTAAAAATATAATAACAAAACAAAAAATAGACTGTTCTAAACTAGTTTGGTCCCACACCCGGCCGTAAAAGGAAAAAAAATATAAACTTGAATTTTTAATTTGTAAAATATAAAACTAAAACAATGATTTCAAACCGATTTTTTAAAAAATCTAAAGGGATATTTGGTTAGAGGTATTAAACAGTAATCAATGAAAATGAAAATTAAAGAAACTGTTTGGTTTTCAATAATATAATAAGATCATTCATTCAGAAGTCCAAAAATTCATTCCCGGTTAAATTGAGAGGAATGAAAATTTATTCCCCATTTTCATTACGCGTCATTTTCATTCATCAGCATTAATCAAGCTGACTCTAAAATCAGATAACCAAATTAAACTGTTGTTTTAAAAACATTAAAAACCATGAACAAAAATATAATCAAATCATTTATTTATTTTTATTTTTTTATCAATTGGGTGCTTTTTAACCCTAATGAAGCTAGCAAGTCAATTTGATATCGTTTGGTTAGGTTGGAAACCATGTTTTAATACACAATACTATTGGTCTGGTTTTTAACAGCTTAATGAGTTAAATGGAATTTAGGCGATGTTTATTTTTTAAGAGGTGATAAAGTCTGAAGTATTATTTTATTTCCGATTGACAAAAGATAGTACTGAAGTATGAAATCTAAATCAATAAGACTGTTTGTTTTTATAAACTGATAAATATATGAATTTGTTTAAATTGTCTATTTTTACAGAAATTATAGTGTTGAATTAATAGATAAATTTATATTCTCAAATATGTATTAATCATTATTACGAAATTTACATATAAATTATATCATGGGCATTTATTTAAATAAAAATATGTCATCAACGGTATTTAACACGTTTAAAATTTTCAGTGGGTTGATCTATGGAATTTAAGACCTGTATCGAATTATATATTCATTTAAATAAAAAAAAATACATTTCACATACATTTACATTAAAAACACTGAAGAATATACATTTTCAACAGATTATCTATTTATTTCCTTAAAAAGAAAACAAAAAGTCAAAATTTGTAAATATAATTACATTTAACTCTAAAAAATTATTTATTTTAATAATTTCAACATTGATTATATTATTAAAATATTCTATTAATTTATCGTTTCAATACATTTTCTAAAAAAAATTATATAAAATAATAATAATAATTCATCTTTACGAATAAAAATAAATAAAAACTATCTAAACTTAAAATTTAATTTAATTTTTAAAAAAATAATATAAAAATATGTTCCACATCCTCTAAACTATACATTCTAATAAAAAGTTAACTTAACAATAATTTATAAAGGAGTTGTTTGTTTATCTCTTAATATTCTGTTAAGATACATATTTTGAAAATCGTTAAGAGGTGAATCTTGTTTGGCAAAAAAAATATGCTTTTTAATGGTTTTAAAACTCTCTGAATGATTTTATATTATGTGTTTCCCTTAACCATTCAACGCCATAATTCAATTATAAGCAATTACCGTACAATTATATTTCATTTTGACTATATCACGAGAGTCTCTTAATCATTCTGACCACTTAATTATTCTGCACCAAACCATTTAACAACTGCCAAACAACCAAAATCGATACCAAAATGTCGAGAAGTAAATGACAAAAATACCCTTCATTTACAAAAATATCCCGCAAATAGGCATGTTTGTGGGGGGCAAATATGTAAGTAGGAGAAAGTTTGAACTCATTTACAATATGATCAAATACAAGCGGTGGTTGCATTTCCAAAAACCGTTGACGTGGAGAGCTTAACGCGTCCAACCACACACCACTTGGCAAATGGACACGTGGGGGTAATATCGTAATTTCGTTTCCGGCTTTCTGTGGGTGGGGAATAGGTGATATACGCAATATTATTTCCAACCAAATTCATTTTTTAGCTATTTTTAAAACTGATTTAATCGTAAATATAACAAATAAACTCACACATTTTTTTCATCTTTGGTGAGTTTTGAATCATTAACTTTCTAGGAGACTAAAGACTCACATACCGCTAGGCCAAAGACCATTTGATAAATTAACTAAAGTTTACGTAAATATCTTACACATCTACATAAAACCTAATTTTTTAATAAAAACAAAAAGAAAATAATTCTATTTAGGCAAATGCGTAACCCATTTGTGTAATGATCCTTACGAAAATACGGATCCTTAGTCCTTGCATTAATTTGAGTAAAGATTTTTCTAAAAATCGAGTTTACGTAAATACGTAGGACATTTACATAAATAAATCTTAAATTCTCAGATAAAATTTCAAATTATTTGTGTTGTGACATACTGGTAAGTCTTAAAAGAAGGTATTAAAAATCTCATTTTTTCTGGTTTGGAATTTAAGATGTGCCAGAACTGGTCATGAGGTTCACATGCAGTAACTTCAAACTCATATTTAGTTGGTGTATATAAGCTGATTCAAAAACCAATAATTACCAAAATGAAAGGGAAATTTATTAAAATAATTATTTTTCATGGTTGGTATAGGTCTGCAAAACGCACGTCAGCAATTGCGGACCCAGCTAAAAGACAAAAAAATTGCACTTTTTACCATGTCCGCAAAAAAAATCACATTTTTAACCAAGGTTCGCAATTTTCTTTTTACATTTCCCGCCCAGGTCTACAAAAAAAATTTATAATTTTCAAGTAAGATTTAGGGTTATTTTGATAAACCTTGTAAATATTTGACTAAGAGGTGAAACCAACCGATAAAAATGACTATTTTAATTAATTTCTCAAGTAAGAAATTATATCACATCCGGTTTGAGCTTGAGCTTCAAAGGTTAAAAGTGCATGGAGGTTTCAGGTTCAAATTGAAGGAGGAATAAAAATACCCTTATGAGTACGAAGGTTCAAATGTGATAACTCCGAACTACTCGTATAGCAGGTGGTCACTTTTGAATTAACGGCTCGCATAACGGATTGAATATTCAGATTAATAAAAAAACAAAAACAAATTATTTTTTTGAAATAACTAATTTTCCATAAAGCAAGCACATGGATAATGGATATAGAGAAGGGTGTAAAAAGGCAAGTTCTTAAAACATGAGGGATATTAAATGAAAATTCGTATAGTTGACCCGCATTTCCGTGTGAAAAAAGCGTTGAATAATATTAAATATTAATTTATAAATATAAAGCAAAAATATTTAGATTTTTCTAAAATGTGTTTACGGATGAAAAAACCCGGTTTTCATGGTCCGATCCGATTGGTCTAATACCGGAGCATTTTCTCGTCAGACTGAAACGTCGTCGTTATCGGGTCATAATCTGCTAGAGCTACACCTAGCTTGATACGGTAGATTTTAAATTATTTGAGCATCTTTAGGGAGTGTTCGGGATTGCTTATTTAAAATAACTTATGTTTTTTTGTAAAAGTGTTTATTAACTTATGTAGTATTCAATTGGAGTTTTATAAAAAGTATTTGGATTAGCTTATTGCGGTATCAAACTGCAATAAGCTGATAAGTTGTTTTTTAGTGTTTTAAAATTTTGCTTATATCTGTAAAATGATCAAAAAGAACAGTCTTCCATATTATTGACTTATAGGAGTGTTTGAGATTGCTTATTAACTTATTTGATTTTTTAACATGTAAAAAATTAATTTTCATCATTTATAATAATATATTTGACAAAAATTTATATCAATAAGATTAATAATTAACAAACATTTATACCAATACTATTAATAATTCAAGACAAAAATAATAGATATGTACAACAAAACAATATTAGATCGTCATTTATAATGTGATACTTTTATAACCAAAATATCAATAACAAAAATAGATCGTCATTTATAATAAATATTCATCTTGATCCACACATTAGATCTTCTGCAATCATATCTCTTACCGCACTCAATATTGCACTTGCATGCATCCCTCTATTATATTGCCCATATTGTTTGGAGGATTGTTTGATTAATAATTCAGAGCCAAGGTTCCAAACTAATTAAAATGACTTATTTGCCTACTGTTAAGAAACTCCACATTCCATAAGAACTACCCCTACTTCCAACCAACCCAACAACAAAGAAAATTAATACTCACCCCCCATCACAAAAACAAGTTTATATTCAACTTTCAAACGAATCCAACAACTGTATGACACAATGGAATTTTATGAATTGTAGTTCAGGATGATTACGACTCCCATATATTGCATCTCCGTTCATCCCACTGATCCCTTATTGTGTTAGTAGTCATTCATGGTCAACATAAAGAGCAATAAACACAAAG